GGCTCGGGCAGGCAGATGGGCCGCACCAGGCGGCTGCGGCGCACGGGCCCCGCCAACTCGAGCAGCGCCACGTCGTAGTCGAGCGTGTACAGGTTGTAGAACGGGTGCCTGTAGATGCGCGCCACGCGCTCCACCTGCCCCTCGGCGCCGCTCAGGAACGGCGTGCCCAGGAAGGCCACCCACTGCTTGGGGTCCCCGTAGCTGCGGGGCGCGCCAGGACAGGCTCAGTCCAGATCCCTGCCCTTGCGCTGTCCCCCCAGTGGCCGGCTAGGGACCCTGGGTAGGGTTCCTGACTGCTCGTGGGAAATGCGGCCAGAGTCGTCCGTTCCTCCCGCAGGGAGGGGACAGCGAGGGAACCCGCTCCTGGGATGCGCCCGGCCCATCCACCGGGCACCGAGTGTCACCCCAAGCCGTGCCACGGCCACCTGCCGTTAGTGCTCTGAAGGGGAATCTCGGGCCGAGCCCTGAACTGGGGCATCCCCTCCGGAGGGCGGGCGCCCCGTCGGAAGGGGCCTGGGCCCTGGGGGGCGCTTTCTACTGGGTGGCCTTGGGGCCGTAGCCAAGTCTGAGAAGGGAGCGCTGAAGGGGGAAGCGACCCACATGTCCCCTAAGGGCTTGTCCCGCCAGCCCCGTGGGGTCAGGCTCTGGGTGGCGGATGGGCAGGGAGGGCTGCGTGGGGCGGGGACGGCATTGTGGGCGTGGGAGGCGCAAACCACCCACACGGGACGGGGGCGCCTGGGGCCGTTGTGGACTCACACGTCGAAGCAGTGCGCCGCCGACAGCAGCCACCTCTCGGCCACCAGCACGGCCCCGCAACGGTGTTCCCGGCGCCGCAGCCACAGGCTCACCTGCCACGGCCACTCCCCGCGGCCTGCAGCGCTGCCGCCCACGATCCTGGTCAGCGCCGCTGCGGGCGCCAGGCCGCAGTCTGGGGAGAGCCAGGGGTGGGCGGTGGGCGGGAGAGCGGCGGCCCCCGGGTCTACAAACTAGCCTCCTCCCCGCTCTTCTCAGGCAAAGTTTGAAACGCATCCAAGTTTATTTCCTATAAACTCAGCTTTGGAGTCGCGATTCTTCCCCTGCTGGGAGGAATTTCTCTCCTCCTGCCCCAGGGCCTTTGCACATGCTGGGTGTGGCTGTCCCGGAGGCCCCGCGGGTCTCACAAGCTCCTGCTCTGGCAGGGCTTCCCAGATGCCCTCCCTGGCACTGTTTACCAGGATCTTTCCCTGTTATTTCCTCCAGGCTGCGACCTTCCCACCCCCAGCGGGATCCCCCTCCCCCCCCCACCATCAGGCAGTGCCAAGCACATCCTCAGAACACAGTATGGGACAGACACGTGGTTGACTTCAAGGGGTGCTCAGGGAACACCATGATCACCCATTGTGGGGGGACTCAGGTACCCACCTGATAATTCCTGCAGGGCATTTTCCTTCTGGGGGCCAGCCCCCTACCCCAGCCCTCTCTCCCACCACCCAGTGGAATTTCCTGCCCTCCAGGTTTGGGAAATGCCTTTCTGTCCCAGTCTTAGCACATGCAGAGACTGACAGGCAAGGAAGGGGCTCAGTGTGCCCACCCAAAAGGAGTAAAGGGGGCAGGTTCGTGAGGCTGACTGCCGAGTTGCCAACAGCCCCCGCCGCCTGGAGCCTTGTATCCCGGGCAGACACGAGCCTCCTGGGCACCATTGTATCTCCCCCAAGACCAGGTGGCCTTGGGGGATCCAATGGAAGACACAGCCGCTCTCCTTGGAAGATGCCACCTCCACACAGAACCCTCCTCCCATTTCAGGGGCCCCAGATTAAGAACTGCCAGGCTACCATAATTGCAAAAGTGAAAGTCAGCCCAGGCCGGGGGGCCAGACCAGATAAGGCCAAGCTGCCGCGTCTGTGCTGTGGGCCGGATGTCCCCCCAGAGCTCCTGGAGGCTTAGCCCCCACTGACAGCATGAAG